ATAAAACAGACAACAACATAACATTTGCCGGAGTGCGAAATATATCCCCATGTACTAATTTCCAACCGAAATCTTCTTGTACATCTTCTTGTGCTTCTATTTGGTTATACCGAGATATATCTTTGTGTAAAGCGCGAAGTAATATCATAGCCACCATACCCGTCAAGAACAGAACAATTACGATGGAATTGACCAAACTAAACCAATGAATCCTTGGATCAAAAGTATGTAAATAATTATCCCAACGTGTCGCCCAAGCTATTTTTGAAGACTGAATAATAAAATGTGTTAACAATTAATTTTTAAAATAATATGAATTTTTTTTAATAATCATAATATAATCTAAAGTAAACGCACAGTCCACACGACTCTATAAGTGTAATGCACAAGATTATCCTTCTTCTCATCCAAAATTAAACGTTCACTAGTAGTAGCACAACTATTTACACTGTCTTCCGTGTCATATTTATTGCTAATAATTCATAAATCTATAAATATAAATTGAAAAAGATGGCGGACCAATGCATCAAAAGTCAAGAATGGTACATACCTGGTAGGAGAAACGATCACACCAACGACACGATATTTATTTTGACCTTCTTGCTTATGATATTGAATTTCGATATCGTAATGATTGTGCAATGGGGGGTTAATGAAAGAAGCCATTGAATCACCTAATTCGAATCCAATGCTATTGAATATTGTTTTAGCTTTCACGTCTAATTTTTTGCTAGCAGCAGGAAGTCCATCTATGAGCCAATTAATCGCATAATTCTCTCTAATTCGCGCATTGATGAATGCAGCGTCTTCGCCGGGAACTGTTACATTACAAAGGTATTGGCAGGTTCCATTTTGTTGAAGCATTTTAAGCTAATTATTGTAAAGAACATTAAAAGATCTTGAGTTAATAATATAGTCAATACAATACGTTAATGGAATATATTCATTCGTTTTTGAATCTAGTATGGGATCATCTAAAATACCTTATATTTTGAGTCAAAAATACGGTCACCAAACAAAATACTACCCAAGGATTCCGATTGACTTTGTGGGTTTTCTGGCGCACAAAAGTGGAAAGGTTTATAATAATAGTCATATGGAATCAAGGATTTAAGCTGTTGACTTCCCATCAACGGAGTGAGCGAGTTGACATACACCTTTACTTCTTCACCTAGCAAGTAATCATGAGGCGCAACTCCAGGCAGGTAGAAAGCGAAAGTATGTGTTGAAAA